ACGTGTGCTCTTCCGATCTTTCATTTTGATCCCATTGGTCAAAATAGTCACTTCAAACCTGTTTTATGAAACTTAAAAATATTTGGAAAGACAATGGTATTAAACTTTTGCTGCATATATTATACTTTTGGATGGTTAAGCAGTTTATTAAAAAAATCATTTTTGTTTCTATGTTTAATCTTTATTATTTGGAAAGTTTTTAATAAACTGAAATTGATTTAGGCATGCTAAATGTTACATTATCAACGGAATAGTGTTGTATGTTGTAAACATGAGAAATAACGATCATACAGCTTGGTATTTTTTAGAATAAAATAAGAGAAGCACAATTGCATCGGCATTTTTCAAATGATTAAAAAGTAAATAAAGATTTATTTTAAAAAACTTACGAATATTAGTTTTTAATCCGGCTGAGGATAATTCAAATAATGCAAGACAAAATATACTGCGTATAGATTAACATACTGATCGTTTAGTATTCTAGCAACTATCGTGTTAGAGACAGTAAGTCTTATACAATCTCAGTTGTCGCGGCTTCCAAAGCAACATAAAAATCTAATGATACTAACATGCATAAGCATAAAATGAAAAAGAATAAGTATTAAATTGTTTCCATTTCTAATCAAAGATTAAATTATACTCTTACAGTCTTTCAAACTGAAAGAGCATATTACATTATTTGCTCATGTACATTATACATACATATATTCAAGAATACGAGAATAAATTTAAATAAATATGTCAAGAACTAGAGCGATAATAAAAATCTGCAGTTTGCAGAATGATATTAACATGGAAACGTTAGTAAGCAACGTCACAAAGCAAAAAATGAATGCTTATAATTATGGTCACTTACGCAGTCTGAAAAGCCATATTTGTAAGCATTCATTTTTTGCTTTGTGACGTTGCTTACTGACGTTTCCATGTAAACATTTGAATTTCCATATTTTACGACAGAAGGAGCTAACTTCATGCGTAATGTATGTCTTTTTATCATGTTATTATTTACAACTTTGATTACTAATCATTGAGAATGGACTGTCAAACATTACCAAACGACCACCAATTGAATGGTTAATCGTTAATGGATTTTCAGTAATGGGAGGCCAACTTTACATAGCTGATACCAATAGATACCAATACACAACAGATACCAATGACACAATAGATATCAATGTCTTTTTGATTTGGCAACATATATTTCCCACATCCAAAATGTTTGTTGGATATTAAGATATTTTAGCGAGAATAATTATGATAATTGTAATACTTTGTATTAAGCTATCTGATCACTATATTGTTGTATATTTATTATCTTAAAAACATATTGTGTTCTTTATTTAAAGTTATTTTATTTCTTGTTTTAAGGCAATTTAAAGTTATAATTTCATGTTTGCAAAATTATTTTTATTTGTCTGTATTAATTTTACACAAATTTTTGAGACACAATTCATTGAGATTTAGCATAACAATATTTTTAAAAAAATATTTCAAAGAATTCTTTAAAAAATACTTACGAAGTTTAGATTCTCCAGCCGAGAGTAATCCAAATATTGCAATGCCGAATATACGTATATAGAACAGCATTTTTTTCATTTAATATAACACGAACGTCTTGTGTACACTAGATAGAAAATACAGTGTATCTCCTGATCGATGAATAATGATAATTCATTCTGGTTGGGTTTTATATAACCGAGTTAATGATATATCTCATGACTTATATTGACTGATGATATATGTGATTTATATTAATATTGAATAATGCATAAACGTACACACGTAAATATACGAAAGATGCAAAGATTACAAAATTATAATAAATATATTATATATTATAATAAAGACTCTTTTCGGCATTCGTCCAAAGAAAAACCACGTTTCAAAAAAATCATGGGCGAGTTTTCTTAAAAAAAAAAAAAAAGAATCTTACGAAGTCCTGATGTTCAGCTTCGATGTTCAGCAGGATCCTTCGCACTCCTCCGAGAGATGCTCCTTTTTTCTAGATCTTCTTTCCCCTGTGAAAAAAAACGCAGAAAAGACCGTACTACAATTAATTAAATTTATTTCTTAAAAGTTTCCAGACTCCAATTTTTTTTTATTAAAAGAAAAATGTATTCTATCGTGAATCTTTCAACTCGTCTTTTAATAAGGAGCTCACCTATCTGAATGCACTACCTTGTTTCTGTGCCTATAGAATTCCCTAATACAAAATACAACATTGCTCAATTTTTTATTATTTTATAAAGACCCTCCCAATTTCTTTGCAACTTGGGTAATTTCAATCAATATACAATAATCGATAAAATATATGAAAAAATGGCAGCTATCAGTAAGCAGACCGAACATTTTGATGGCAAATTGATGCAAATAACAAACAGTTTTGTTATTGCAAACAATGTCAGTAAACATCTTGTAAAAATGCAACAATGTATGTTTTGCAGTAAACACCAGAGTCTGAAATTGTTGTGTCAATCTGTCGCCGTATTGCTATTATTAGATCTGCTCTGACGTCATCAATTTAACTGCGGAAATATTTTTTCATATTTCTTCATATTTGATTCACATTGAAGACTAACTGGGAACACAGTAGGATCAGGCTTTGATATTATCGTTTGCTAATATTTGTTTCTTATTTGGCAACATCCCACAATCAAAATGTTTGCTGGGTATTAAAGTATTTGAAAATGATCACGATGATTGTAATAATTGTATTGTGTATTAATTTAACTATTTATTCACTTTATTGTTGTATATTTATTATCTTATAATTATATTGTTTAATTATATTGTTTCTTGTTTGGAGGTAATGATTTCTTTAGAGAAATTATTTTTATGTTAACTTTATATTAATTTTACACAAACTTTTGATGTATATAACACAATTTATTGAAATTTAACATATAATAATATTTTTACAAGAATATTTTAATGAATTATGAAAAAATACTTACAAAGTTTATCAGATTCTCTAGCCGAGAATAATCCAAATATTGCAATGCCGATTATATGCCACGTACGTAGAATAATATTTTACGTGTAATATAACATAAGGTTTTGCATACTCTAGATAGGAAATACACTGTATCTCTTGATCTGCAAATAATGCGTCTGATTCTGGTTGAGTTATATATATAACTGAGATAATGATATCTCATATATAAATATTGAATAATACAGACATGCGTAAGCATACGAGAGATACAAAAGTTAAAAAAATCATAAATTTTTACAATTGACATTGTTACTTTTTCTATAAATGTTATGCTCTTATAATGCTTTTAAAAGTGTATATATATTTTTTGCAAATATATGTCATATACTAACTACAGATAAATTATTTCGTTTATGAATTGTAATAAATACGTTACTAGTGCAAAGAAAAACTTGAAAATTTAGTTTATAATATGAAAGAAAAGAAATTTTTAATATTTGGTGTGTAAATCTGTTTCTGTTTTATAAAGCACACATACCTTACAATGAGAAGTTCTAAAATAATTTATGCCCTGTTATAATACAAAGTAACAAACAAAATTATATATAGTTTTTTCTTATCTAATTCTGTATATAATTATTATTACTTTTGTGAAAAAGAACCGTAAATTTTAAAAGTATTGTAGAGGAGTAACACATAAATGGAATTAAATTTA